CTAGGGTGAGAACTCACTATTGCCGCGCGCAGGGTCACGGACTTCTAGAACTTTCTCGTTTATTCTTGCTCCGGACATAACTTCTGTCGTTTATCCCTGCTTACGTTGTTCTAGAAAGTGCGTGTTCATTCTCGCCCCGAGCGCGCTACGCTCGAACCTTCTCCGCCGAATCTTCGAGATAGTGCCTCATTCTAGATAAGAGGCCACCCGCAACCTTGTCGAGTCAGTTTCGCCTCAGCGTTCGATCTTGCTGCTTCGCCGCCTTCGACGCCCGCGACGCTCTGTTGTTATCTTTCTATTTCCTTTTATTTTTGGCACAAGTTCGCCACATTAAACGTTTATTTCTTTTTATTTCCTGTTTTATTTGTCACCACCCGTGACATTTTGGTGGAGGTGCGGGGTAACGCATGCCCCTGCCGCGTACCCCTCCGAGGGCCAGCAGTCCAAGTCCGACGCCTAGCCCACGAAGAACCAACGCAAGCACTTCCGAGATCCGGTTCAGTCGTCGCACCCAAGGCCTACACCCGGAATTCGGACCTCTGCCGCCCAAGACTAAGCAGCCAACGAGACCAACGATGGACAGCCAGTCGTCGCAGAACCCGTCCACCGCCAGCGTCGTCGTCCTGCCCGTCGCACCCCGGACTCCGACGCCTTTCCACGGGGAGATCCACGAAGACATCGAAGACTGGCTGCGACACTACGAACGTGTAGCCCGCCACAACGGATGGACGACTGAGCAGTGCCTCCACAACCTTTACTTCTCGCTTGAAGGCACTGCGAGGCACTGGTTTGAAAACCATGAAGCCTCCTTCCCCACATGGGAGTCCTGCGTCGCCGAACTTAAACGAACATTCATTAACCACCATCCTCGCCAGCGAGCAGAGGACCTGCTTCAAACAAGGGTGCAGGGCCCCAATGAAAGCCTGACCAGCTTTGTAGAGGATGTTCTGCGTCTAAGTGCCCGAGCAGACCCGGAGGCCGCTGAGGAAAAGAAACTTCGAATCCTCATGCGAGGCGTCAAGGCAGAAATTTTTGGAGGCCTGGTTCGCAATCCCCCGACGACCGTCGATGCATTTGTGAGTGAAGCCACGAACATCGAGCGCGCACTGACGGCCCGAGCAAGCCACTACCACCGACTCACCGGCGCGCCTACTTCTCCAACCGTCGCAGCTACCCTTCCGGACCTGAGCACCACCGGTGTCGACAACCTTCGGGATATCGTCCGGGATATCGTCCGGGAAGAGCTCCGGAAGATTCTACCTGCTGCAGATCGCCCAGCCTCACTCTCACTCGCCGACGTCGTCCGAGAGGAAGTTCACCGAGCTTTCCATCCCGAGGTTGCCGTCACCGCAGCAGCACAGCAGGAGCCAGCCGTAAGCTACGCCGAAATGCTCCGCCGAGCACCATCAGCACCGCGTCCGTACATGGCGCCTCCCCGACGTGTGCTTCCAGAGCCGCAGCATTCCCGACGCCAGAAAGATCGGGCGCACGTTCGCCCAGAACAAGTTGCGCCAAGGAAGACCGACGTGTGGAGGACGGCTGATCGACGCCCGTTGTGCTACCACTGCGGGGAAGCCGACCATATCTACCGACGATGCCCCTACCGCCAGCTCGGCCTACGAGGGTTCGCGCCCAACGACCCTCGACCACGTCTTGGAGAGCGACCTCGGGACATCGAGGACTACCTCCGCCGCTCTTCAACTCCTGAGTCGTCTCCCCGCCGAGTATTCCGTTCGCCATCTCCCCGACGCTCGCCATCGCCCTTCCGCCGGTCTCGCCGAGACAGCCTGTCACCCATTGCGTCCCGTCGGGAAAACTAGGCGCGGCAATGCCGGGAGGTGGTGTTGCCGAAGACGAACGATGCCAAGATCCTCCAAGATCGTCGGAGCTCTCCCACTCTAACACCGCAACGCCCCGAAACGACGTTTCTGTAACAGTGTCGAATAACCTCAACGTTATCATCGACGGCCACGACGCGACAGCACTCGTCGACACCGGAGCGGATTACTCCGTTTTGAGTGGGAGACTCTCTCGTCGCCTTCGGAAAGTTACGACGTCGTGGGATGGACCACAGATACGAACCGCCGGCGGACACCTCATCACGCCTGTCGGCAGGTGCACCGCTCGCGTTGAGATCCACGGTGAAACCTGCCCTGTCAAGTTCGTCGTTCTGCAAGACTGTTCGAGAGACGTCATTCTCGGAATGGACTTTTTGTGTGAATACGGCGCCATAATCGACCTTGGGGAGAACAAGCTGACGCTTCGGAAACCTGTTCCCTCGGCGGAAGATTCCAAAGCGACGTTAGCTGCAGTGCGAGTCCTTACCAGCCACGTAAACCTGCCGCCGCTGTCCAGTGTCTTTGTCCCCGTCGGGACCGACGAAGCCACCTGCGGGATAGCACTGTTGGAAGGAAGCGTCCAACTTCTCCTTGGACGAGGGATTGGTATTGCAAGAGGCGTAACCGAGCTCCAGGACGGGCGTACCGTAGCCGTTGTCACCAACTTCCGGCAAGAGTCGCAGCACCTTACAAAGGGTACAGCTGTGGGCTACGTCGAGGAAATTCAGGACTCGGCCGCCATCGCCGTGATCTCAGAAACGCCTCTCCGACGCACCACAAGGGAACCACGCCGTCAAAGCTCGACATCCACCCATCCCTCCCAGGCCCACAACGACGACAGCTGACTGACGTTCTCGCTGAGTTCAGTGAGTGCTTCGCCACATCGTCAAGGCTACGCCAAACAGCGGTTGCGAAGCATCGAATTGTTACTGACGATGACGTGCCCCCTATTCATCAGTCGCCGTACCGAGTTTCGGTGAAGGAGAGGGAAACCATCCAGAAACAAGTTCAAGAAATGCTTGACGACAATATTATTCAGCCTTCAAGCAGTCCGTGGGCCTCTCCAGTCGTGCTGGTGAAGAAGAAAGACGGAACCCTTAGGTTCTGCGTGGACTACAGGCGGCTGAACGCTGTTACAAAGAAAGATGTCTATCCGCTTCCCCGCATAGATGACACCCTCGACCGTTTACGCCACACCCGGTACTTTTCGTCGATGGACTTGAAGAGTGGCTACTGGCAGATTGAGGTCGATGAACGGGACCGCGAGAAGACTGCCTTTGTCACACCCGATGGACTTTACGAGTTCAAGGTGATGCCCTTCGGACCCTGTACGGCGCCGGCGACTTTCCAGCGGGTCATGGATACTGTACTAACGGGACTGAAGTGGCAGAGCTGCCTCGTTTACCTGGATGACGTCGTCGTTTTTTCGCACGACTTCGACGAGCACTTGAAACGGCTTAGGGCCGTGCTCCAAGCCATCAAGACCGCAGGGCTCACACTCAAGCCAACGAAGTGCCGCTTCGCCTACGCCGAACTTAAGTTCCTTGGTCATGTCGTTAGTAGCGAAGGAGTACGCCCTGACCCCGCGAAGACATCCGCCGTAGCCGAATTCCCTCGACCATCGGACAAGAAGGCAATCCGCAGATTCCTGGGGCTGTGCGCGTACTACAGGCGCTTCGTTCAAGATTTCGCAAAAATTTCGGCGCCCCTCACACATCTTACGAAAGACGCCGTGAAGTTTCACTGGGCAGAAGAACAAGAACGGGCGTTCGACGAACTGAAACAAAGACTTCAGACACCTCCGATCCTCGGACATTTCGACCAGCACGCCGAAACCGAAATTCACACGGACGCAAGTTAACTCCGGACTTGGTGCGGTATTGGTACAGCTACAGGAAGGCACGGAGCGAGTTATTGCCTACGCAAGTCGGACACTGTCAAAAGCGGAGAAAAATTACTCCACGACGGAAAAAGAATGTCTCGCGGTTGTATGGGCGATCACAAAGTTTCGTCCGTACATATACGGGAACCCGTTCCGGGTGGTCACAGACCACCACTCGCTCTGTTGGCTTGCAAACCTCAAAGACCCTTTAGGACGCCTGGCTCGATGGAGTCTTCGACTGCAAGAATTTGACATGACCGTAGTCTACAAGTCAGGACGGAAACATAGCGACGCCGACTGCTTGTCCAGAGCCCCCGTCGAAACGCCAGACTGTACCGACGTGGATGATGACGAGTGTTTCCTAGGTGCCGTGGACACCAACGACATGGCAGGACTTCAACGAGACGATCCGGTGCTCCGCGCCCTGATTGAGCATCTAGAAGGACGAGGAAGTACCGTTTCTCGTGTCTTTTCACGAGTCCTGCCGACCTTCGCTATTCGAAGAGGTGTACTTTATAAGAAAAATTTTGGAACCAGTAATTCGTCGTGGCTTCTGGTAGTCCCCACCAGCCTTCGAGAAGAGATTTTTCAAGCCTGCCGCGACGACCCAACTTCAGGACACCTCGGTTACAGCCGAACACTAGCCCGAATACGTGAAAAATACTACTGGCCCAAGCTGCCGAAGACCGTCCATCTCTACACGCGATCGTGCCGTGAGTGCCAGCGACGCAAGAAACCGCCGTCAAAGCCAGCAGGTCGCCTTCAGCCGATTCCCCCTCCAACCAAACCGTTCCAGCAAATTGGAATGGATTTGCTGGGCCCTTTTCCACCGTCGACCCTGGGAAACCGCTGGATAATCGTCGCCACAGATTATCTTACGCGTTACGCCGAGACGAAAGCCCTTCCTTCGGGGACTGCTGTCGAAGTCGCGAAGTTCTTCATCGAGTCCATCGTCCTCCGGCATGGCGCCCCCGAAGTCCTGATCACAGACCGAGGGTCATCGTTCATGGCGCAGTTAACCCAGGAGATCCTTCGTCTAAAGGCCCGACCACACTAGCGTGAACGGCGCCGCCGGGCGGCGCCGCCGGGCGGCACCGCCGTCCGGCGTCCCAACGCGAGGAGTCCACATTGGCCTCCGTTTTGCTAGGTTTTGCCGGCGTTTCATAGTCACGTGACAGAACTGGATCTCGTGTTTCCTCGACTGCTCGAGATCGCGCTCGCGCCTCCGCTGCCTCCGCTGGATTTCCCGCGCTTTCGTCGTCTGCTCTTCGTTAGTTTCTTCCGTTTCGGCTCCCGTCTTTTGCTTAGAGCAGCCTCGAAACTGCGCTCGCTGCCTACATGGCGGGTGTCGATGATGACCTGGTGATCAGCATCAATGTGATCCTCCTAGCCTGCTCTTTAATTTTGCGACGTCGCCGCGCTCGGAAGGCAAGGAGGCGCAGGTTCTGGGTCCGGCCTAGTTGGCGCTTCCGAAACACCGAGGGACAGGCCAGCGCTTTGCTGCCCCGGCTGCGCGCCAGAGACGAAGGCTACTTTCGAGAGTGAGTGATTGAATTGGTTGCGACAAGTGTTCACCATGTATACTTAATAACTGATGTTTGTTACCTCTCTTGCAGCTTTCTTCGAATGCCGCCAAGCACATTCGACACATTACTCGGACTTGTGGGGCCTAAGATCGAGCGCAAAGTGACGCCGTTTCGGGAACCCATCTCGCCGCACGATCGGCTGGCTATCACGCTAAGGTGAGAGCAATAATTAGTTTGTAGTTAATTTTGACTCATAAATTAATTGTACTAATTCGATAAAACTTCAGTGAGAAAATCGAAATATTGAAAATAACGCTAAAGCTATGTGGATTAAATGACGAACTGAATGAGCACGAGTGAAAAAAGAATAATAAAAATTCGGCAGTGGGCTGGGAGCAGTTATGTGATTATTAGCAGAATCCAATGAACAGAACAAAATGGCAACACAATAACCATAAAACATCTTTCGTGTAGCTAGCTACCAAAATATGCCTTTATTGATACCTAGAGGGAAATCTACCCACATGCGCCGTAGTCCCAGATCCGTTCTAGCATATCCTTGTGACTGGTCTCGTTTTTCTCCACCCAACTTACTAAAAGTATTCGGAGTACGTAACCGAGCTTGAGCACAGCACCCAGATATGACAAAAAGCTCTCGAAGCAAAAGACGTCAACCCCATTTGAAATATCATCTTGATATATATGCAGTAATAATCAAGTTAGATATCAAGCTTCACAAACCTGTAATTTCCTCTTATGCCTTAGCTTACAGTCCTTGGTAATTTTTTATCAGATTTAACTGATATCTTCCACCAAATTTCCATAAAGTCTGCACAATCCGCTCGTCACTGGTGCAGAATGTTTTTGACGAACAGTGAGATTGCTTGAGATACCCTCGATTGGGCTTGACATGTGCAATTAATCGAATTCCATGTTTTCGGGTCCAATTTTTTCTTTGATTTTAAATCTGTTTCAATTGGTATTTACTTCGTCTCACATTTGTGTTTCTCGGGGACTATTTTCGGCATTCGGAAAATTGCAGCCTTTATCGGGGCTTATGTTTAAGAAAACGACACAGCAGTTTCATTCCCCACTCTCTAGGGAACATATGCATGACCTGAATAATTATAAAACCATCTCATTACCAAAAAGAGGAGAAAATAAGAAGAGTGCGCACACACACACACACACACACACACACACACACACACACACACACACACACACACACACACACACACACAAAGCAGCCTCATGAATAGTTCAGTGTGGGTGGTGTCCTATATATCACCAAAAATAAAGCTGTACATTACAAAAGAACAAAAAACAAATTCCATGAAGCTTTTTTTTTTACTTCTATTTAACCAGCAGCTTTCAGTCAAGGTTTTTCTATTCTCCTGAATAAAAAAAAAAAAGACAGCTTGGATTCATTGGCATAAACTAAACACATTGAACCCCAATTCGTAAGTTATATCCCTTTCCTGAGGTTTCATCTTCTCTGCAGTGCTTACTACGGCACATATGAGCAAACATTGTTTTGTGCATTGATGGTTACATTCCACCCCTAAAGTTGGCTTCACCTCAACATCAGAAAAAGGCGATTGGACCTTCTTTGCAGTGTTCATAAGAATGCAAACAACACTCTCCAAGTAGAGTCTTTGTATGAATATATGAGGGAACACTGAAGGTCGGCATTTTTGGCTGTGAAGCATGTTTGACCTTGACGCAGCACTCGTCTCCACAACATGCTTGGACACATCCATGCCAAATGCTGATGGAGCACTCGTATCCAATGTCTGCTTGAAAATGTTGCCCGAAGTCGGACAACTTGAGACAACACGCCTTTCCCAGAAGCTCAGTTGGTGCTGACAGGCATTGCGCTCTCGTAGACCTGCCAAAGCTGTTGGCGAGAGGGAGTGAAGTCAAGAAGCATGGCTGTAAAAAGGAGGGGTGGAGATATACAACAGCTCCCATGTGCGGCCTTAAGGCGTGTTTGCAAAATGTTGCTACATATAAGCAGCAGCTTCTACAATCTGTTCCAGCACAACTCAGCAAAGAACGAAAGCAATAGCCCTCATTAGGCAATCAAAGTGGCAGAGTGGAGCACTGGACAACTTTGCATGGGACGAGTACACTCCGGATATCCTGTCACAAGCCTCAACTTCACGCTCTGATTGGGTCGCCAGGGTCTTAGCTTCTGCTATTTGCCAAGTTATACTGAAACATGATAAAAATTGTGGGCAGTTTTGAAAGGGGTCTATCATGCTCACTGGAGCTGCACTTAACATCAAAGCTCCTTTTAGTTTGACTTGCCATAAATGCTCCTCAAGGTATGTTATCCATTATCCACCAAGGTAGGGAGATGTTTTTTTTATTTTCCAAAGCAATGCTGTTGAACATAACTAGCAGCCGAGAATGTTCTTAGTGTAATTCCATATGTATGGCATGTATGTTTGTCATTTCAGGTTTCTTGCCAATGGTGACACCTTCCGCAGCCTCTCGTACAATTTTCTCATCGGTCGGTCAACTGCAGCTGTGATCATCAGGCAAACAACTGCTGCGATTTGGGAAAGCCTACAGCCTCTTTACCTGCTATTTCCCCAGTGCGCTAGGGAGTGGAAGAAGGTGAATAAACTAGTTTCTGTAAAGCAAAGTTAGTTCAAAGTAACTAAAAACTGAGCACAAAAATATTTTACAGTGGCAGCTGTTAGTGGCTTGTTCCCCTGTTTTCCAAAAGCGTGAGTGTGAATGACAAATTTTCCCGCTAAATTTAGCGGCAAAATTGACGTCTTGTGACCTATGCACCAATTTGGTGACCCAGACGTGATCCGTCTGGGTCATCAAATATGTAGGAACCAAAGACTTGGCACTACATATTTATGTATACCATTTACAAAGTTCAACAGAATGGGCGACATAGACTGATTTTCGAAATCGTTGAGCACGTTCTGCCTCCAAGCTCATAAATGACAGTCCTTTTTGTCGGCTGTGTTTTCATTCACTTGTGCGAGCAATCCTTCCATGCCCACGCACAAATTCAGCTTCCTTGCTAAAATTATTGGAAAAATATGTCACATGACCTATGTAGCTATTCAGTTTCCCTGCTAGATTTAGCGACAAAATTGACGTTATGTGACCTATGGACAAATTCAGTTTCCCCACTAAATTTTGCGGGAAAATTGATGTGACATGACCTCATGTCACGGGACCTAGACAAATACAGGTTCCCCACTAAATTTAGCAGAAAAATTGACGTGACGTGACCTATGCGGCAATTCAGTTTCCCCGGTAATTATGGCAGGAAAACACATCCCGACCTTGCTGGCGCTGTCTAAACGCATTACATTGTGTGATCATCGCACAATTTTTTATTTCAAACATCACAGAGTTCACTGTTTGGGTAACAAGTTTTTCTTTATCCTAAAATTGTATTGAACTGTATATAACTATTTCAGATTGCAGCAGACATGGAGCTGTATTGGAACTTCCCCAACTGCATCGGAAGTATTGATGGGAAGCACATTAACATAGAATGCCCAGACAACACCGGCTCAAGGAATCTCAACTACAAAAAAACATTCAGTGGTGTTCTTCTTGCTTCATGTGACGCACACTACAGGTAAAGTTTCTCTCTGCAGACATACTGGGAAGAGTTATTGCTCAGGTTCAACCAGTGGTTTATCATGAGTGCCCATAAAAAACACAATACCTTGTCAACAGTGCATTGTAAAGCAGACTAAACTAAGGCAGTTTGCTGCTGAATGCAACACTGCAATAGTGAATTCGTTTCACTACACCTGTGCCCTCACAGTGTCTTTCACCACACTGCGCGAGTGTAATGAAACAAATTCGCTATAATACAGTACATTGGAACACCTACCTGTAGTACGGCTTTCACGAGACGACTCAAAAAAGTTCTTCTATAATAAATATAAAACATGATTACAACTATTATAAAATACTGAGCATCCACCCATTACTACTAAGTGCCCCCCCCCCCCCACCCCCAACCCCGAATTTTACATTTGTAAAACATGCACTGATCATGTCTCGCACTGACCTAAGAAGCGCCGATATAGACTTGTTTCACATGTTTATCTTCAAATTTTGAGTGGTCGCTTGCTCGTGACTTTGTGGTGGGGTGCTCGGCCGTGCATGGCAGTAGAACATTCGGGTGCCTTCCGGATTACAATGAGGCAAATATGCATACTTTTCATAATTACCCCACAATTAACCTGCCGGGGCAATTCTTTCAGCTCATAAGAATTGTCTTCGATCACAATCCTAGAACGTTTTGTGCTGGCCTTTGTCTCTACTACACATAAAAAAGGATTGAGCAGCGGGAAGAAAGTGCCCTAGGGTCGGCTAGGCTTAACCTGGCATAACTCTGAGGGTATGCTTGCTTCCCTGGATCCAATCAGAGTGCCTTCCTGAGATGGCGAGCCACCAGAGCGATGGGGCTAAACGCAAGCGGCTTGGCGACGGCTTATGACATGGGACGTGCCCAGTATTCGGTTGTGTAATCCAAACTTTTAATATCTTCTTTCTATGAAGAGTTTGCCAGGACTACGCTCATTTGTCGTCAAACGCAGGACGTCACATAAACCGGGAATGGATAATCAACATTCCACTGCATTACATTAAAAAAAAAAAAGGTGCAACTTTACAGTCAGAAGAGGAGGAAGGAACGCCAACCAAAAATAAAAAGGAGCCCAACGTTTCGAAACCTGTTGGTTTTCTTCTTCAGGGACGACTGTGTGCGTGAGGAGCAAGTGGTCTTCTTTTACGGCAGTGGAGGTGATGCTTTCGCGATCATAATGTGGCTGAGCCCGCTGACGTAGGCGGACTGTAAAGCGCCAAGCGACCGATTGATGTTTTGCGGTGTGGTTTGGATGTGCCATGACTCGAGGCCTTTGCCGGGAATTGGTCTCAATATCGAGGATGCGTGTGTTGTCGAAGTCAATGCGGTGGTCATTTGAGTCACTGTGTTCCACAACCGCGCTGCGCTCATGATCGAATTTTCGCACGTCGGTTTTGTGCTGGCGAAGTCTTTCTTTAAAGTTTTTGGTTTCGCCGATGTATGTGGCAGGGCAATCCGCACAAGGAATCTGGTAAATAACGCCTTGCGCTCTTTATCATTGGGGGGACGATCTTTTGGCCGGGGCATCAGGTGTCCAAGCGTTGACACTGGTTTGTGGGACATCTGGATGCCTTCTTTTGCCAGCACACGCGTGAGCGCTTCGCTGGTTTCCTTTATGTAAGGGACGCAGATGCGCGTGGTTGAGCGGGGATGTGCGATTTCTTGTGTTTCGCCGATTGGTCTTAGGCGTCGATCAGACTTACATTGACGAAGAGCGATCCGCTGAATGAAACTGTGTGTGTAGCCGTTATTTAGCAGGTCGGAGATGATGGTTTCTTCCTTTTTTCTGTAGTCCTGCGACGAGCAAATATGGGTAGTCTTTGCTCGGGACAGGAGTGCCTGGACGACCGACGCCTTGTGGCTCGCAGGGTGGTTTGAGTCAAATTGGAGATAGCGCCCAGTGTGTGTCAGTTTTCTGTACACTGAATTCCAATTGATCTTTTTGTCTTTCGACCAGCACGTCGAGAAACGGCAGGGCGTCGTTCTTTTCAGTTTCAACGGTGAACTGGATGGCCGGCTCGATGGAGTTGAGGTGTGCCAAAAAGTTGTTCACTTCTGACTTCTTCATAATGCAGAAGCAATCGTCGACATACCGTAAAAACACTTTGGGGCGTGCAGTGAAAGACTGCAGCGGCGTTGTTCAATGGCTTCCATTGTCAGGTTGGCCGTGGTGACGGAGATGGATGCGCCCATTGCAATTCCGTTGGTCTGCTTGAAGAATTCTCCTTTAAAGCTGAAGTAGGTGCTCTCCAGGCAGAACTCCAGCAGGCGGCACAGTTCGTCCACCGTAAGGCTGGTCCGTTCGCTCAGCTTCTTGTCTCCCTCGAGGGCAGCTCTGGTTGTGGCGACTGCCAGGGGAACCGGCACGCTGGTGAAGAGTGAGACGACGTCGAACGACACCAGGCTGTCGTCATCGTTTACCTTTAGTTGCGCAACCTGTTCCACAAAGTGCCCGGTGTTCCGCACATGTCGCTGTGTTTCCAACGAGAGGAGAGAGAGTGCTGTGGAGGTAGTTTGACAATCCCCGAAGTGGTGAGGTTGTGAAATCCACGATCGGCCGGAGAGGGACGTTAGGCTTATGAACCTTAGGAAGGCTGTAGAAACCGGGCGCAAACCCATTCCTGCACAGAAGCCGCAGATGAAGGCTCCGCGCGTCAGGGTGCTTCTTAAAAATTTCAGAAAGGATATTGTTCAGTTTTGTCTGAACTTGTGATGTCGGGTCTTTCCTGAGCTTTTCATAGGCAGAGCTGTCAAGAAGGTCCCGAATCTTGTTCTCGTAGACATCCCGGTCAAGGACCACAGTCGAGTTTCCTTTGTCCGTGGGTAGAATCACGATGTTTGTGTCTCCTCGAAGCTCCCGGAGAGCTGCTATCTCTTCTCGTGGCAGGTTAGGCTGTTGACGACGACGACAAGAAATCACACATCCCCGCTCAACCACGCGCATCTGCGTCCCTTACATAAAGGAAACCAGCGAAGCGCTCGCGCGTGTGCCGGCAAAAGAAGGCATCCAGATGTCATACAAACCAGTGTCAACGCTTGAACACCTGATGCCCCGGCCAAAAGATTGTCCCCCCAAGGAAAGAGCGCAAGGCGTTATTTAGCAGATTCCTTGTGCGGATTGCCCCGCCACATACATCGGCGAAACCAAAAACTTTAAAGAAAGACTTCGCCAGCACAAAATCGATGATCGAAAATTCGATCATGAGCGCAGCGCGGTTGCGGAACACAGTGACTCAAATGACCACCGCATTGACTTCGACAACACACACATCCTCGACATTGAGACCAATTCCCGGCCAAGGCTCTTCGTCGAGTCATGGCACATCCAAACCACACCGCAAAACATCAATCGGTCGCTTGGCGCTTTACCGTCCACCTACGTCAGCGGGCTCAGCCACATTACGATCGCGAAAACATCACGTCCACTGCCGTAAAAGAAGACCACTTGCTCCTCACGCACACAGTCGCCCCTGAAGAAGAAAACCAAGCAGGTTTCGCAACGTTGGGCTTTTTTTTATTTTTGGTTGGCGTTCCTTCCTCTTCTTCTAATTGTTCGTACCGAACCAGGCAGATTTCTGCCAAATGTTTACTTTCAAAACTTTACAGTTGGCCTAGTGTGTTCATTCATTCCTTGCCTGCTTCATTTCAGATTCACATATGTTGACCTGTGCCACTACGGTGGTGAAAGTGATGGGGGCATTTTTTTGAGATCACCACTTCGAACAGTTCTTACCGAAAGTCATTGCGGCATCCCACCCCCTTCAAGTGTAGGTTCAGCAGGTGCAGTCCCCTATCTTATGGTGGGGGACGAGGCATTTCCGCTGAAGACATTCCTCATGAGGCCATATCCCCGCCGCGGTAAGTCATGCATTGCCATCTATAAACTAACTAAGCAGCCTGACGTTAGTGTCCAGGAGACAATAGAATATAATCATGATTTATTGTTAGGGGCACTTTCATCCCCAATAAAGTCACCCATAATCTGCGCTGTGCACATAGCAAATGAGTCCAATTTTTAACAATACTGTATTTTTTTAGGGGTGTGCAAATAGTGGTTCGAATCGAATAGCAGTGTCATCCGTAGCATCAACTGTGTTAAGAGAACCACCTATTGTGATTCTCCTTTGCACCGTGAAGGTGGTGAATGATGCAGCACTCTTCGATTCAAACCACTATTTGCCTACCCCTACATTGTTTTCTGCAGTGTCATTATCTCACTCTGTTTGTAGATCTATTGGTGAATTCTGAATGTAACGCAGAACAGTTCACTTCAATGCTGGGAACTAAGCACCGGCAAGACACCTTTGTCCTAAATTTGTTTTTTGAACAAGGAATCCAACGCACCATGGTTGAACGAGCCGTTCGCCCAAAGCGTTAACTGACCAAAGTCAGCTCTTTTACAGTTTCTGAGAGATGTGAAAGATGTGCAACTGCACTTGCTATACATTTATCTATTAAATAATACCGCAGTGCTAATTATAATGAGGTAATGGCTTTAGAAGGACGACAGAGTTGAAAGGATACCTGTTCAATAGGGACGGTAAGAGGAAAGGATGTACACAACTATTACCTCACTTCATTGTCGTTGTCATTTTATTTTTCTCCTCATTTTAATATTAATCTTATGGGCTTTCTTTAGATCTACATAAGTACAGGAGTGACCCTGCACAGTATCAGGAGTACCTGAAGAGGGCCACTTTCAACTACCGCCTCAGTCGTACCAGACGCCTCATTGAAAATTCCTTCGGGATCATGGCCAACAGGTGGAGAATTTTGAGGCGAGCATTTAAGGCGTCCGAAGAGATTACAGAAAGCGTCGTGAAGGCATGTGTCACACTGCACAACTTTCTTCTGAAAGACTCTGCGCACTCGAGAGCAGCATACAGCCCTCCAGGCTATACAGATCATGAAGACTGGGAAGGAAAACTCATAGATGGACAGTGGAGGAATGACAGGAGTGGGCAGCCAGGGCTGAGAGACCTAGCTGGCGTGGGACTTCGCCCCGCAAGGTAATATTTTGCATCAAAATAGACCGAAGAAAAGAAGTTTGCAATATTGGGATTTGAAATTTTCTAATTACCATACTTGAAACTGCTCAGAGCTAAGATTCTATACATGCTTAGATATTGTACGATGTTGTTTCAGAACTGCTTTGGCTGTGCGGGACCAGCTGGCTTCATACTTCATGAACGATGGGAAAGTTGAATGGCAAGACAAAATTGTGACTCGTGGGGATGCTAACAGGTATTTTACCCAGTATAAATATGGCCAGATGAGTATAAGTTAGGGTAGTAACTATTTGGACGTCCACTCTCAAAATAATTCAAGGTATTATTTTGACGTCCATGTCGCCACTTCTTGAAGATGTGAAAATATTTTTAAAAACCTTTCGACATTCCCCGTCAAAATACTTTTATTATTGTCATGACTCGAACTTAGAACATCAGAATCCGGACTGAGGAGCGATCGATAATGGTGATAAAAAAATATATATATAATCTTGCCTGCACGCAGTGCCGCGATTCGACACATCTTTTCCAAAAAAACAAATGTCATGCAGTTGGCTGCTGTTCTTTTTTTTTTTTTCTGAACTTTTAAGCGGTGTGGAATGTAAAAAAAAATCCTAAAGTACATCAGCTATCAGGCTGCACGTAGCGTTTGCTTGGTTGTGCCCAACATTACAAGATGCAGCATTGCTGCTTTTCATGATTTATTTTACAAGTTTTGTATAGACGAAGGAGCTGCACGCAGCGTCATAAAATTTGCAGTTATTGAAGAATATGTGCATCTCGTGCAACCGAGCCAGAATATTTATTCGTTTGCACTGGTCAAGAAATGTCAAGGAGGCCATGTTTGCATGCACAGCCTTTTATTTAACATCCGGATCGTTTCATAGTTAACCTAGATCACCGGCTCAGTTTACACAAACCAAACAGAAAATCTAAACTAAACAACAAACTCGGGGAACACGGTTAGAACAGGGCGGAAGCCAGATGCAAAGTGAGACAACCATATGAAGACGCGCTCGCACGATATGGAGGAACAAAGAGCGTGCCAAATTTCTCAGTGTTACGTAGTGTATGCACTTACATTTATTTATTTATTTATTTGAAAATACTGCAGGCTTTTCTCAGGCCCTGGCAGGTCACAGGCAACAATACTTACGTACGGGGAAGACAGAGGGATATCCAGCTCGCCTTTGTTGTAGAATCAAAAATTTAGGTGAGACGTGTGCCGAAATAAGATGCAAGCTCGGAACATTGCCGCTGGTTGTGACAGGTCTGCAAGGATCAACTGTCGAGCCAGTCCCACACAGACGCTCAATAAGACATTTCCACTGCCGACTAGGACCGAAACTTTTTAGGCACGAAACTTATTAATCCGTCAAAACGTCTACACAAGACAATGAGGAACTAAACAGAACGAAACCACGAAACAGCTTCCACCCTACCATTGTGATGGCGGCATTGAATGTGCACTTCGAAATAATAAAGCCACTATTAGCCCCGAGAAGTTCGCGTGGCGCCCCCTTACGGCGAACCGGGGTGACGTCACGGCGAGGAGAGAATTTTTCCCCGACTCGCCCCGCTCGCCTGGTGGAGGCTGTGACGACGCTAGCTGACGGCGCACTTGTTTCTATTTTTATCTATTTTTTTTTTCGGCGTGTTTTTCGTAGGAAGTGTAAATTTTTATATTTGTCTGTATTGAGGTATGGCCTGTAGCTACAGGCGAAACTTCAACCAACATTTTAAGCATGGTTGACAGGGCAGGCAGCGCATGAACCACAGCTGGTATATGAAAATAAACAAAATATGGTCACAATTGCAGGAGCATCACTACAGATTTACATCTCGCACAATAGATGCTGCTGATGGTCTGAATGAATCGGCAGGTTATGTATACTATTTTTTTTTTGTATCTCTGTTTTTAAACAAGATCGCCGAAGCAGAAAGGTTGCATGCTGCTCGAGCAACGTGCTAAATACAGTCTGGGCCATGGGGAGAGAATCACAAGTAAGACAGCCCAAGTACGGGGGCAAAGTAAAAAAACAAGGAACATTGATTATATACATTGCTCGCATTTGACCTTTGCTGGATTCGGATCGTATTTCAAAGGACTACACGGGTGGTATCTGTGGACTTGTTTATATCAACCGTCGAGTAATGTATAACAAAGGTAAGCGAAGGTGTCTAGCTCGTTATTAGTCCCTTAAGCGCTAAAATTGAGATTTTATTTAAATCGAATTGTCCTGAAGCTAAAATACCAGAAGCTTTTCTCACGCAGACTGTCACCCTTCACGGGTTCCACATTTTCTGGTACTGTACCCGTTTTCACCTCAAGAAAAAAGCAATTTTTGAGCGTTGTTCATACGCGCCGCCGCGAAGTAGTTTTTACGATTTTTGGTCATGGAAGAAAAAAGCGTTGCTTTTGGCGCTTGAAATGTTTACGTCTTGATAAGATAACATTCTTATGTTATCTTATCACCTGTATACATATCTTAATTATCAACATAAAGGGGGAACTTAGTAATGCTCCGCGAGGAGCCGGACTTGTTTTACTGCGGTTCGTGAGGTGAAAACGGGTATAGTGCTGCATCTACATCTGGACAGACGTTCAAATGCTCGCTTTTACTCCTGTTTTCCTCTGTTGTCAGAGAGTCCAGCTGTAGGGAGTTTGGAGGCTGGGGAAGCTTTTGGGGACCTGCAGCAGTGTCTCTTTTAATTGGAAATGACAATTGAGACAAAACCGTGTATTTTCCGAATACCCAAATCTGGAATAAGGAATGTCCGGAAAAAGTATAAACATTCCAAATTACGGCAATATTGCTGTGCATATTTTGGGCAGTTTAATACATATCATACAGGCAACTGGGGGCAATTCGGCCGTTTTTGTTGCTACCATACAAACTAATTTCCAGTAATGGTGCATCTTCTAAGAAATATGCCTGCATACGTGTATAAACTATATAATTAATTCACGAAGAAGCTACATTTACGTAAAATGTAGCTTCTTCGTGAATTAATTATATAGTTATATAGTAATTATATAGTATTATAGTATTATATAGTTAATTAATTATATAGTTAACGCCAGTGTTTACTAGTTGAAATAATGACGGTAAATGCTCATTTAAATCGGTTACATCAAGAAATACTTCACATGAAAGCGTTCGAGGTGGATGGCGCCCGATCACCCCAGGTCCTGGGTTTCGACACCATGGTTTGGTTAAATATCGTTAAGAGCAGGAGAACGAAGTCTGGAACGAGATCGCCTAAACGAATACAGAACGACGTAATGCATACCGAACGCCTCAACAGATCACAACGTCTCTCACCAATGTAAATATTGTACATAAACCTTTTTATTCCTCCTCTTAACGATATTTAACAGGGCCTTCAAAAGTCTGCGAACCAGAGCATGTAGAGTGGCAGCGCAGAGTCGGGGTCGCGAGCTAATTTTCCGACCACCCAAAGGCCCATGATATAAATGCCACTTCAAATGCCTTGAAAGCGTGATGTATTATCGTCCTAAATCATGAACATGCAAGGAACAGAATTCCAGCGTCTGAAACACTTGCGCCACCGCTTCACCGATCCCTCGCGAAATTGCCTTGTGTCGTGTGGACGGACGGGAAAGTTCATCGGCGGAATTGCCACCACCGATAGCTTTCGGGATTTTTAACCTAATTTTAAAGGTAAAAGGGAGAAGCAGGTTTATAAAACGTACGGAAGCACGTCAATAGCGGCCTAACTCAACGTCTTGTACGCCGAGTAAACGAAGTCCAGCTCCTCGAAGAGCTTGCGGTACACAACGCCAAACCAGGAAACCGGTGCTGGGAAGCGAGCCGATGCGAGATCGCGGAGCGGAGTCCCCTCCCTGACGTCACGGAACACCTCACCCAATCAGGGCGCGGCGACCGCAGCGACGCTTGTGTTCGCTCTCGGGGCTAATAGTCGGTGACAGGTCAAGAACGCAGTGGAAGCTCCTCCCACCTCTTTCCACTTTAGTAGAGCGAACGGCGGAGAGGATCGCCTCTTTTTCAGCGTTCCCTCTATTAAAGTGGAGAGGGGTGGGAGGAGCTTCCACTGCGTTCTCGACCTGTCACTGATTATAGCTTGCCGTTTTATGGAAGTGAAGTTACAGATGTTGAAACAATTTCAGGTATTTTGACGGTGGACATCGAAATAGTTGCTGCCATAAGTTATTGTGCCCTTTCAGGAAAGAAACTCAGAACCAAACGAGGACTTGGAGACATAGATGGCCTGGGTGTCACTTTGCAAGGTAATTTTATAATGACTTGTAGAAGAAAGCTGGCTACTTTTGGGTAAATGAACCTCGATTTCCATTTCAAAACGATGTGAAGCCCATATGACCTCCATTTTCTGCATGTGCACAGATTGTACATTACCCCCATGTCACAGGTAGCACGTACCCAGTAACTTTTACATTCGTGAAATAACCAAAGGACATATCAAGCATGCAACCCAGAAATAAAAATCCACCAAGCTAACCAAGATGGTGGTCCGCATCAGCTGTTTCTGCGAGCACACCACTCCAGAGCAGTGAAGCTGGCCTTATGTTGTGCTCCTTCTGCATTTTTCTTTTAGCAGCTGGGCACTTGCTTGGTATTTTATAATGTAGAATGCTGTAGTGCCGCACCGCTTTGGTTGTGTGTAGTGGTTGGCAGCATACTTTACGATGGGTTCTATTGCAGGAAGAACTGTAAACCCTTGCAAGACATCAAGAAGTTGGGAGAGAGATAACAACTTTATTTTAACAACTCGATCAACACATATCTAGCCATTATAAAAACCAGTATGGCTGAAGTAACATTTGAGTTGGTTCCGAAAAGCAAGCCAAAATTGAGCAAACAGTATAGACCAACACGCGGCCCTGCCGTCACGCAGCTGCGGTGGCGCCGTCGATGGCACTGCGCATGTGCAGGGGCTTCACTTCACGCGAATTTGGTTTCTGCACACGCGCAGTGCCCACACCTGGCGTGGGCAAACACGGGCTTGTTTGTAAACAGCGTGTCGGTGTATACTTTTGTAATTTACGTCTAACTTTATTATTTTAATCAAACAAATCACAGAAATATAAAAAGAAGCCAAAGTTTTATTTTACACATATTTCAATTGCACCATTTTAGCTTCTCACGAAAATGAATAGAATTCCCTATGCTGTTTATATAAATACTAAAGGTACCACATTATTGCACATACTCCTTTAAAGCTATTTGTTCCATACAGACCACCATTAGGTTTTGAAACTAGCTTCATATTGCCCCTTTCAACTTTATAACAATATAAATAATGCTTTTTGTTTTTCATGTTCTGGAACCAAGTGGTTGCAGTGGGGTGACCCCTATCAAGTGAATAACAAAATACTACTACAGAATTCAGAACAATAACTTCTTGCATAGAAAAATGTAGGAGGATCAGAGACTAAAAATGTATACACCAAGCTTTCAGTTAAACAAGAGAAAAATATGAAAAAAATATCAGCATTTCCCTTTGCACCAGTGGTGATCATTTCACTTGAATAGAATGCGAAACATACTTGAGCCTCTGGTAATACGAGGCAGCACACGAAAATGTAATTACGACACCAAGTTCCTTTAAAACAAGAATCCATATAAATGTGAGAAACAAGTAAGATTCATTGTATTGAATTATTCAAAGCTTTCCATTTCAGCGTTATAGAGAAGTGTGTTAATTTGATACATCACCTCACACCGTTTCTGCGGTGTGAGCACCCTCAGCTTTGCTACAATCCAATTTGCACCCTCCACGCAGTCGTCGCCAGGTGGCACTTGTTCCTGTTCGCTCTTCTTCCGGATGTTGTTGAGCGTTGAAGAGCAGGTCCCAAGTACATCCCGGATGGCTTGATCAAAGTTCTCCTCGCACCGTTGCTTCTTCCTACTGCGGCATATCGGAAAAATATGCTGTTATATACTGACGGTTTGATTTGTATGATTTAATTTTACAGGAACTGTGAAACATGCCAGTACCGAGAAGGCGGTGCTCCATGGGCTGATTTCTTGGCTGGCCTTCGGAAAGATATTGGAAGCACATAAGGCTGTGCAATAATACTGTACATAAAAACCTTTCATTTTCTAACCTTGGAGTGGCTGTCGAAGTGCCGGATGCTGCATTAGCCTGTGCGCTCTGCCTACAGAAAATGCCGCATCACAGACAATTTACATTCATGTCATAGTAACCCCCAGGCCAGTTGACACTATTGTGCATTGGCCTACAAACAATATCGACCCAAAGGAAGCACAAGCATGAATAAAAGTGTAGCATGGGACTGTTTTCTCCTACCTTGGTGGAGCTGCAGAAGAGCCTGATGGCAGGTTTGTCTGCATAGTCTGTCCATAAGAAGAGCTACATACGAAATGCATAATTAGAATTTATGCCATGATATCTATGAAAAATTGCAAACAGAGCACAAAATAGGACGAATACGAGATAAGAAGCAAACGGGACGACCGCTCCTTCCCTCGTCTTTACCCTATTTGGTGCGCGGTTTACATTTCATCATACCATGAAATCCTACATTGCGACTTTGACACAATATGTGAAATAAATTGTCCGTGTCAGCTGGCAATGTTGTGCATTGCGTTGCAGTGATATGAAATCGAAGGGAGCACATGAATATTCAATTCTACACAACAGAACATTTAAGGTAAGATAAAAATGCAGGTGAGTGGGTAAATAACTTTCATAATAAAACAAGGACGGGCAAAACACGAAAATCTCAAACTCAACTTCTAGTTAATTTTTCACTGTCGGTTATATAATAGCAACTGAAAAATAAACTAGAAGCTGAAATTGAGACAGTCGCGTATTTGCCTGTTTTTTATCGTCCCTAAAAGGCTCGCCACAGTCGAACGTAGTGCAGGTGCGCACCCGCTATCACAGCCCATGGAGATGTTTATTTGTTGCAGATCTCAATGTGTAATTGTATGTCAATTAAATCCATGCAGACTGCTTTATGCTACGTTACATGTGCTTGAGGTCGGACTATATCAAACATTTTTGAGGTTAAGGTTTCATATGGAAACATTGGAGTGCTCGATGCCAGGTGTGCCTCCTTGTTTTGCTTTTAATTACCCTAGCTAAGCGAAAGGCACAAAAAGTTTTGAATTCGAACCTGCCCTGTGAGGGTCTCGCAGTAACTCATTCTTGAGCACAAAGACTCGTTTGCAAGGTGGAGAAAGCCCAAAGCTCTGGAGTGAGGGTCAAAAGCCCGCACTTGGAGGCATGGATAGCTACAGTGTAGCAGAACAAAGTGAGAACCCACATTCCTGCTTAAATACAATGGACTTTCTCTGTACCTGCTGACAGTACTGTGAATTTAATTATAAATGTCAGATTGTTAGGTTAGACAAATAAAAAATATCCCACTAACCACTCTGGTTCCTGGTCATCATCAATGTCTTGAATGTCCCTGCTGCAAAACAAAAAGACGCAGTATGCTCGTAAAGAAGAAAAAATGCATTGTAAAACAGCTTGATGGGCTATTTGGTAAACATTTATTACCATGATGAAAACTGCCAACACAAAAGACACAAGAGAGAACTCAAGTGCTATTCACAAGAATCTAAAGAACCATATGAAAGATAACTCTACATGGCCAGGCAAGTGCTGGTCTGTGTACAGTTAACAATATCTGTATAGGCCGACACGATGTTTACAAACAAGCCCGCGTTTGCCCACACCAGGTGTGGGCACTGCGCGTGCGCAGAAACCGAATTAGGGAGGCGGGAAGCGCGTACGCATGCGCACTGCCGTCGACAGCGCCACCGCAGCTGCCTGACGTCAGGGCCGCGTGTTGGTCTATATCGTTCCTGGGATTTCTTTGTAGATAATTATGAGTAGGGACATGGCAAACTCCCTAGGTTTGGTTAGAAAATTTTGTCAGATACCGTTGATGTTGCCACAACCTACATACGCTTTTCTGGCTTTGCTTGAGCGGCTATAAAGTTGCGACATTGGAGTGCCGACATTCAAATATAAAATTTAAAAGAAAAAAAGTGTTTTCCACCATGACCAGCGCATTTCTCCGGCTCACACTTGAGCCACTTTAGTGCAAGCTTGTGCCAAACTTGTGCGAAGTTGGCTCTTGCTCCTGCCATTCTGAGTAAAGCCTGTGCCGAGGAAGTGTGGTGCTTGGGATGAAATATTATGTATAGGGAGCAAGTACTTGTTCCATGATGTCACCATTCAGTGCGGTCCTGGGATGGTCAGTTGTGGTATCACTGTGTGCATGGAAGTGCACAAAGTCTAATTTCCGGCTTCTATGTGTTTTTGCGCTGCTGTACGTGTGTTCGATGGCTGAACACCCTTGGCAAAATGGCGTCAGCTGTTGCTGGCTTCACGCGGCCGTTTGCAAAATGGCGTCAGCTGTGGCTGGCTTCACGCGCGTGGCGGTACCGTGCGTGTTTCTATTCATTCGGCGTTCGTTGCCATGGTGACGGCGAGGAAAGCAGACGTGCGGGAAAACGCCGCGGCGCAGCAACACCAGGTGCGTTTTAAGGCCCCTCCCGCATGCTTTTCAATGGGCGGAAGGCGAACAAAAAGAGTTTGAAATAAGGACTTAACGGAGAAGGCTGCATTTCTCCAGCGCCTCATAATGTGATGAGCCTTATACGAAAAGCATATTTTTTTGGCCATCCCGCGTCTTGTTTTTTTCATCCGTAACATGGGTCTAAAGTATCAATGTGCCACTTTGGCACATTGATACTTTTATTCATTCCAGAGTTACTGCACTGTAATAAGTATTTTTGCTTGATATTCAGTATTTACTGATTCACGTGTATCTGCATATCACAAACCAACATATAAAGAACTTATCAGCATGTAGGCGAACAGTACTAGCAAAAATACAAACAGCACCCACCTCCCATCGTCGTCATCGTCATCCTCTCTGTCGGTATACCTTTTGTGGAAGACAGTGTATTAGACTATGAACGACAAAGCAAATGAGAAAGACATTACTGCGAGGAATTTGTAAAATGCTGCGAAAGCGCCCAATTAGTTCCCCCCAAGCACCCACTATTATCATTTCCCAAACTTGGCAAGTCTCTAAATTACATGTTAATTACCCCATTTAACTGTACAAGCACCCATGTCTAGGTAAACCCAGTTTTCAGTGAAAGTAGGGTGGGCACCCCCGTCTCTTATTGTATGTTGGAACTGGCGTGCAGCAGATCAGTTACGGTACAGCATAGGGCTGCTTCATTTTACATAAAGCTCCAACTCGTGCTGGAACCTATTGTGGTGAAAATTAACCCTATGCTTCGCAATGGATGGAGGCAGTTTTTGGCACGCTAAAGTTAGTTTTTGCTTGAATACCTATCACTAGCCGTCGGCGCATCAAGAAAAATCACCCAGCACTCAAATTTTCAACATACTCGCTCGCTACCTGCTATACAGTGACCAAGATTGTTATAGCAAATGCATCTAGGGCAGCAATGAAGGGGACAACAACAAAATAAAGGGGGGTTTACGCATGTGGATTATGATACCAATCGTGCTTTTCGTGTTCCGTCATTGGCGGGGGTACTTGCCATGCTTCTGAAGACTCCCTAATATTATGAACAATGCCTAATGAAGATTTACTTACATTCAAACACGTGGACCTTTCAAATAAAAAGCTGCTTCAAACTGCCGTATTTGTTGACTATACACTGGGACGCTGCAGAACATGCGCAACTGCTCTCTGCCAAGAAGTATTGTACGCCACGAATGCATCCAGCTCCGTGATTTGGCATTTCTCGTCTGGGTAGCAAGCGTTGGGAAGGTGTATAGGGAAAATGGCAGAGGGGCACTTACCACCATGGCGGTGGACAGCTTACCAAAAATGTTCAGGCTTTCCGCTCTCTTGAAGAAGGAAGACCAGCGGAGCTGTACTCGATATACTGTGTGCTTCTTCGTCGTCGTCGTCTGTTTTTCGCGCTGTTTCCTACGATGAATTCCCACCAACGCGCCGCAAAACTATCCATTCTTCTATCATAGCTGGAAAGGTCGGCGCCACCTACGAGCGACGGCAGAAACCGTACTGGTTGTGTGCTTGCCGCCGTCGCTTATAGATGGCGGTAGCTGTCCAGGCAGGTTTGTGTCGACATACACGGACAGGATCCTGGGGAACCTAGCCCTTAACAGCTCCGCTGTAGAATAGAACCGTGGTACCACAAACCAACACAACGAAACATACTTACATTGCAGCAAGTACATCTTGAGCACATGTGATGTTTAAGCCATGGCAGCCCCGGTCACCGCTATAGAAAGCAGAGGAAAAGTTTGTTACTCTAGTTTTCCTCTCAACTTATGTAAAAAAAATACAGTGTACCTTTCCTGCAGCCCTGGGCTGCATGTCAGTGTGGTGCCCCCACTGCTGGACGGTTGTGGTGTGTTTCTAAAAACGGCAGCCAAAACATTTGCAATAACACTGCAGAGATAGTCTGTGAGTTGACAGAAGTTTTGCAAGGTCGAAAGAAAAACAAGCAGCGTATGGGAGAAAATAAACACATGCACAAGACATACCTTTGCTCGTCTGCTGGTATGTTAGTAATTATCCTGAAACATGAAAAAATATATGCATGTAATATATTCTTTTAAAAAGGAAGAGAAGGGCAGTTTGTCAATGGGCAACATAGTGTAAAGGCCTCCCTCGATAAAATTTGCTTGCAAGCGGGCAGTTAGTATTTGGGATCCCTCACAAAAAGTTGAGTTGAGCGTGTAGGAGCTCGACAACTTACTTCTCGGCGTAGTGAGGGGTGCCTCTAAGCATACCGTCTACGACGTCGAAAAGGGGCCACGACTTCAGGCCTTTCCCGGCGTTCCCCCTGCTCCGCTTCGGCACGCATTGTCTACTTTCGCCAAAATTTTCAACCACCGATCACGTGCGTTTCGGAATTTTCCCATTGCTCCGACTCCTGCAGAAGATATTCCGTCACACATGGAGTCAAATACTGTCACCAAATCGACACGACATCCGTCACAACACAGGCGACATGCAACAAGTGCCACGGAGAAACTCACCTGTAATGCCAAATTCTGCTCCTATAATCTCCCATCGGTTGTTTTTCGCGTCTTTATCCAAATAGTCTGGTTGAGTCTTGTCGTACAGAAAAGGAAACATTCCTACAGTCTCGAGGAAGCGCTCCGTCGGGAACGGCATTGGGGAAATGGGAAGTAGGGAGCGAAAACTAAACAACGCTACGTGCCAAATTTACAACGTGAAAGACGCGCCGACGCGCGTGGAAGCGGCTGAACCGGCTTCCGCGTTGCCATGGCATCGCAACGTCACTAACGACGCCACCTCCCATTGGCTCTTCTCTTCTGCGGCGTGCGGCACTGACCTCTGAACCGCGCAAAGAGCGGTTGGGTGTGCGGCGCCGCACGTCGCGACGTTGAAGCCGAAAACTGGTTTCCGCCGGCAAACGGCAACGCCGACCGTCGCGCCGCAGGCCTCCGAAACGCCAATGTGGTCGTGCCTTAAGCCAGACGGACCACCGTCGGACAACTGCATACCATCCGCAGACAAACGGGTTGACGGAGCGGCTCAACAAAACCATCGCCGACATGATCTCCATGTACGTCGACGTGGAGCACAAGACATGGGACGAGGTATTGCCATACGTCACATTTGCCTACA